CCTTCCACAGAAATTATTTTTAGTTAGCATATAGCTAAACTTTAATGATGGTTATACAATAGCAGCTGCATTCTGGCACAATAAGCTGTATATTCAATTAACGTATGATCCGATTAGTCGACTAATCGAAAAAATAATCGGTGATTAATTGACTATAAAAATAGTTTATGGCAGCTCTATAGTTGTGGTAGAAGGAAGGATCTTTACAGTGTTATTACTTTATATGAGCAAAAATGGCAATAATTTACAGGAACATATGATGCTAGTTTCTTATCATTTGCATATATATTTCTTATCATTTGTAAGAGTATTAATTAGGAGTGTAACAATACATCGACCTATATTGGTATATCAATTTGAATGGTTCTTGATTCAGTTATATCGTGGCATATTGAAAATATTGACCTATATCATCATCATATGCTCAGTGTGAATCGATATCGTATGCCCATTAGGRTTGGGCATAATCATATCGTGTGCAATTAATCTTCAGAAAAACAATCGATTAATTTTTGGCACTTGACGATTAATACGATTAATGCCACCCAGCAGACTAACTGCTTGGTGCTCCTCTCTGGTTCAAATATAACAAACATTTAAAAACGTTGTGTAATTTATTTATCTATCAACACAATTTAAAGTTTGATGTATAGCCTGAAGTCTGTGATTTTGACACAATTTGGAACAGATTTTTACGAAGAGCCAATTTTCTCCCTATAAATTGGTCATGTGACCAGGATACAAGGGTGTCCAGGGACTCYGGGGGATTAATCGTCAAATTAATCGTTATCAGCTAAATACCACAATTAATCGTGATTAATTTATTTGCCAATATTGCCCAACCCTAATGCCCATCTAACAGTCATTGTGTTAGATGGGCATATATATTGCATTATATCGATCGCAGACGTGAATTTAATTTAATTGAAATCATATCATGACAGACTTTTTGATATTGAGAAATACCGAATCGTCATCCAAACATATCGATGTAATATCGTGTCGTGATAAAGCTGGTGATTTACACTCCTAGTATTAATGTTGATTTTGGAGTTTAAATAAACCCTTTTTTTACGACCAACTAAATATCTTAGATCTGTAACTGTATAAACTTCAAATTGCTGTATAAAACTGTATAAAACTGTATTGTCAGAATATTTTAACAGAATCTCTATTTTATAAAGTTAACTTTTATCAAAAAACACCTCTAATTGGATATCTAGACTGTATAGACAAAAGATAATATTTGCAATTGCATACATAAATAGTGTACTTACTAAAATATTATTTGAAGTATGGCCTGAAAATAATTCAGCTTCTTTCATGTATTTAAAACAATGACTGACATGAGGATGTGGCCCAGATATCCACTACAGGATATCTGCTGCTTTAGTATATGAGTGGCTCACAGATTTGATGCATTATAACATTAAAGAGTTTTCAAATTGTTTACTTGAGTTGAAAATATAAAACTAGTACATTTTTGTTATTTGTGCTCAAGTGAAATAATTCAGTTAATTTACAGCTTTTGTTACAACTTTGTTTTGGATAAATCGCCTCAGGCCCTGAACAATAAGATGTAATGAAAAATTTGTGGTTTTTGTTATTTTATAGATTAGATAGAAATAATTAGTATCTGTCATTATTTTATAAAAACTCTGTAATACTTTAATGAAGGCAGAAAGAAATATTTCTGATATTTATATTACTGCATGACTTTAATTCAGTTTTTTCCACTTTGCTTACATAAATATTACCATACAGATGTCTATTTAAATACATAACAGTAGTAAGTAATCAGAATTTGTTAGACATAAGTTTACAGAATTACTGATGAATTCTTGTACATAAACACACCACATCAGGTTGTAATTATCCATTCATGTGGGGTATCATTTTTCAAAAGCCAGTAGGTATTTTTTTATAAGCATACTTCACAACAGAAAAAAAAGTGGTGAAAATTGCTTTTTTGTTTATGTCTGAAAGGTGAAGCAACAAACTGTTGATCAACAAGAGCAGCAGCTTATTCTTTTTTTGTCTACTGTATGATTTTCTAGTTTAAAATGAATTCAAACCACTAAATGACAACATGTCAGCTTTCTCATGACTGGAAAAACGCTGTCAGAGAAAAATGTGTGCAGTTCCCTCGTGTTTGCTCAGGAGTTAGTTGGTGTAAGCTTATCAGAATCAAACAGCCAAACAGAACACTGCCTTGGTGCTTGGGAAATATCAGAGCTGTTACCATCACCCACCCAGAACTCAGACAGTGGATCAAAGATTGATGTCTAATTTCAGGAACTAAAGATGTTGCAACTTCTGCCGTGTTTATTTGTCATGTTGAAATGAGTTCTTGATATGACAAAACAAGAACCTGTGAATGTTGTATTAAATGGAGCCATGCCTTTTTTTTAATTATGATTATGTTCTGCAGTTATTCCTTTATGTGTAATTCAAAAGATTTAAATGTATATTTAAAGACGTAAAGTTTAGACCATAGTTCCAACAACTGTTACACATTCAGTATGTATAAATGATGATAAAATATTGCGAGTATTCATATTAATTCAAAAAGTATTTTTAGTGTTGATGGTCTTTGATGTTGATACTGATGTTGATTATTCTAGCTCTAAAAACAACTCTATTCAATCCGAACTTGTTTCAGATTTCAAATGTCAGCCCTGTATGTACTGTATACATGTAGAAATGTTCACATAAAACTGACAGATTTTATTTTTTTTATCCTGCAGCTATGTGGATTCGCGTTGATTGTCGTGGGAGTCATGGTTCAGGTGTCTCTGAACAAAACCTTATTGATTAAGGATGTGTCCGCCTCAGCAGGTCCCATTGTCATCATCTCAGTCGGTGTCTTGGTTTTCTTCATCGCATTCTTCGGCTGCTGTGGAGCCTGGAAAGAGAACCAGTGCATGGTCGTGACGGTAATCCACACTGCATTTTTTAAACCACAGAAATATTAAAAGTTTAAAGGGGACCTATTATGCAAAATTCACTTTTTAAAGTTTTTTTTTACTCAACTTTGGGTATGTACTTCTTAAAAAAACAGTCCCAGGACCGAAAAAAAATGCACCCAGGGGCATATTTACTGTAAGTAAATGTATTTTTAATGTATATTAACGACAGGTTTTATACTTTCGTCGTATTTATTTTTGCTCGTTATGAACACGTTTTCTCATGTACCTCTATTGTTTAGCTTATTAAAGCCTTGTTAAAGCCTATTTGTTTGAGTTTCTGAGGTATTTTGACCTCTGCTGCTCCCTGCTCTGGTAACAGCATGTAGAGTGAGCGCAGAGCAGAGGAGGGAGAGGAAAAAAAGAAAGAAGCTGCGACCACGACTCTGCCTCTGGGTCTCACATGCAAACGCTGGCTTTGGAGGGCGGAGTTAATGTCAACAGATTTTTGGAGGGCGTTACCAACAGAGCTCATTAACATAAACAGCTCTTCTGAACTGAAGTCAGAGCAGGCAGAACTAGAAAATGGGAAATTTTATTATATGAGAATTATTTTGTGCATTAAATTGAATGAACATGGTCTGGATAGCTCACAGACATACCATAAAAATTTCTAGGACATATAATTGGTCTCCTTTAACCCATAGAATTTATCTGGTTCAAAAAATAAAGATTGTTTTCAGAACATGCGTAGTCTGTCTTGAAAAAGGAGTTAATCTTTCTCTTTAATATTCTTCAATCTTCTAAACTCCAGTTTGCTGTCCTTCTCTCGTTGATCATCATTGCTGAGATTGCAGCAGCAATCCTCGGATACGTCTTCAGGAACAAAGTGAGTGTAGATTTATTTTTGTGGTCCTGTCATTTCCTACAGAAGTTGTGATCTTTATGCTGTGTTTCCCACATAGATCTCAAAAGTCGTCCAGGATAGCCTCACTGACATGATCAACAAATACGGGAACAGCTCCAAAGAGACCCAAGATGCTGTGGATAAACTGCAGGAGACCGTATGTTCAGCTTCAATCTACTTCACACTCCCTCGAACTGCAGAAATCGTGTCGCAGTTTCATAATGAAATTTTTATTCTCAGCGTCGACTCGGCCGCCCCTTTAGTCACAACCTGCCGGCAGAACTTTTTACCCCCCTCCACATAAGAACTTATTTAGTGATTGGTCAGAYGTTWGTGGGAATGTTTCTTCACACTGAAAGCGCTTAAATGCTGCATTTTGCTTCAGTCACTCGCTTAAAAAGATTTAAAAAACACTCGCTTTCAGAAGCTGACTGTTGTAGGCCAGTGATTCCCAAGTTTCCCAAGTGTGTAAAAAAATAATTAAAAATAGGTGTGGTATATGGAGGGCCCTGTGATTTCCACCATGCGGAAATTGCAGACTGAATCACAGAATTGACACAAAATGGAATCCAGTATAAAACATGAAATCTCACAGAATTAGCTAATTTGGAGTATTTGATGTATTTTGGATGCTGCTGTTTCCTGCACCTGCCATTACCTGGTTGAATTACTTATTCACTTTCAAGGCAGCACATTTATCTTTGTTTAATTTGAGTTGGAAAAAAAAGCATGAGAATTAAATGTTCTAGGGGGTTAAATAAAGAGTTTTTATGTAATAATCAGGTGTAGTACATGATAGTTTTGGAGAATTGTCATTAAGTTTGATAGAGGGGGTACTAGTGATATGACAAAATGGCTCAGGGGGTACACACATCTAAAAAGGTTGGGAACCACTGTTGTACGCTACCAGGAAGTGAATGTTTATAACCATAGTCAATTGGCCAGAAACTTGTGGATAGAGATAAAACAGACGTTGTGCACGGAGGAGTCTGTCTGATAAAAACTGTGGAGCTTTAACCGCGACAGATTTGTGCACAAATAACCGGGTAACGGGTCTCGGACATTTTTATCGGCATTGTAGACTCCAGCTGGAAGAAACCCCACGCAGTGACGTATACTGCAGCGGGAGGGGTTTTCCAGGAGCTCGGCGCGGTGTGTCTCAGAGGCTATGAAAGGTGTGCGAAACCGAACGCCAAACATCCATGTGACCGCACATCGCCTGGTCGGTTTTGGAAGGACTATGTTCAGGCCTTAAATCTCTTAGTCACTGTTTAAATAGGCTGACAACACCTTGTCATAAAACTACTGTGTCCTGTTAATGTCCTGCAAGTTGTCAGATTATTATCCTTTATTCTGTTGACACAAGTTACTGCACATCCTTGCACTGTGTGTCAAACCTGACTGACACGTGTCTAACCAAGGTTTTACTCATTTTAGTGGAAGTGCTGTGGCGTGAACAGCTCCTCTGATTGGAAGAACTTCAGCCCTGATGGTGGAACAGTGCCAGACTCATGCTGCTTGAATGTCACTAAAAACTGTGGAAAAGGCACCATGACAGACGCCAGCAAAGTCTACCAGAAGGTAAACCCATAGTTTCATGATTGTCTCAGTCTGTTATTATTGGTCAGGATTTTATTTTGACATTATTTTATCTGTAGTGGATCTAGAGACACCAAACAGGAGGCAGTTGTTGACTCTTGGCTGGATGAAGTTTTTGAATCTCAAGACTTAAACTGAGACCAAACAGTGTCTACATTCCATTTAGCTGGAATGTAAATATTAGACAGAAACATGACTCAAGTTGAATAACATTTGCTCTTTGACGAATAAAACACATTTGARCACATACTTATCATACAGTGACAAAAACACATCCTGACAGAGCCCCTCTCACACATGCAGCTCTCTGTCTGGTGCCAACTAAACATGTTGGTGTGTGACTGACCTCACCTGGCTTTTCTGCAACTTTATGACAGAAATGGGATTTGTTATATTGTAAAACATTTTTGGTAGTAGAGTTAGATATCAAACTGTGTTTCATTGCTCTGTGCAATGACGGTAAAGTTGAATCTAATCTAATCTTTAGTTAAATTTTTAACAAAACTGTTCAAAATATTTTTGAGACTTTTTGGAGGCAGTCTCACTTATTGTTTTGTTCAGTTTAGTCTGATAAGCAGTGGTGGGCACAGTTCCGTTCCCCTAAAGCACTAATAGGGGAACTAATTTCCTGATTAGTGCTTTAGGGTTTTTGCTCATTTTAAAATGTATTAGTTGATTAGCACTTGCTAAATTTATAGATTAAAGTTAGAAGCACTGACTGAGGTCTATAAATGTTATTGATCATTTGATTGATGTTAACAGCTGATGGTGAAAGCTGTCACACATGTTGTTCATATGTGTGTCACTTTTCCACTAGATGACAATATATGAACTCAAACACAGCTGTGGGATGTCAGTAAGTCTTAAGAGAGCAACATGGCAACATGTGACTCGTTGTCTGTTGAAGAATGTTCATGGTTTGACTGGGTTATTTTAGTGCCTTAGAATTATGGTGCGTTCACACCGAACGCGATTTCAGCATCAGGAGCAGCAGGTTTACATGCAAAGTCTATGGTGGATGTGCTTCAAGCAACGTCGGGAAGTTCTGCGGCGCCTCAAGCGCGATTAGAGC